AGGGCCCTGTGTTGGTTGAGATAGCTATCGTATCGTGATAAATTGAAAACGTAAGAATTACATCTTTGGCGGATAAATCCGCAGTATAGCAGTTTTTCACCTTTATTTGCCTAGACAACGGCTTTATTTTTAATTTTTACATATCTAGATTATCAAAAAAAAATAGAAGCCTTGATAGTTGAGAAAGTGGTTCTGCGGTGGTTAGGCCGCCGGATAGGGTCATATTGGTTTCATTTGGTAGCTGATAACTGCTTTTAGCTGAGTTAAGCGCTGATTCTCCAAACGGTTTAAGATAAACGCAAACCATTGAAGTCATAACGGGTGTATTTAAATAATGCATAACAACTCGTGATTCACGAGTTTCATTTAGACGCCCATTATGTTTGTTTGGAAACGTTAAAGCGGTTCACCGGATTGAACCTTAATGATTTTGTTATTCTTGTGAGCACGGGATTAATTCTGTGGAGCTGGATGCTCAATTCCTTGGTGGCGCAGTCAAAGTAACACGTTAAAGCAGCAAACTGTTTGCAAATTTGGTGAAGCTCAACAACGTAGTTTGGGGTGAATGTAGTGCTTATTAAGTTTTGTACATGCTGTGCGTCGTGATTTGATCTGAAGGTTGCTTGTGCTACAAGCAAGGTTTTTGGGTCAAATTAATCTGTGTGAGGCTGTCCATATAGCTCGTATAGCTTTTCTACCAGGAATATACCTTGTTTTAATCGTACATGCAGTCGAATGTGTTCTAACGAAAAAGGACCACCATGATTTTGATGTGGCGCATACAACGAGGTATTGAATGGATTTCACCGAATAGTGCCCGGATCATAATCGAATACTGCCCATAAAAATCAATACCTTTTGAGAAGAGGGCTTTTAAAGAGTGCAGGATTAAGTGCGGTAACCATAACGCAATTACTCCATCGCCAGGAATAATACTTGTTTAATTCAACCCACCAACAACGCGAATTGAGTCTATCCATACCATACAAATGTACTGAAATAGAAGTCTGGACTGGTGGATTGCAAGGAGCCGGAGGGTTCTTTGCCATTTAATACCACCTGTTAGAATGGGCGTATAGTATGTTCAGATTTTGTGTTTGTTAATCAAATTTTTAAATTGGAGAGACAGTCACTATTTTGTAAAGTAATAGATGTCACAGGTTTTAAAAGGCGTAGGGTTTGTAGGAAGTGAAGGGAGGAGTCACCACTCGGTGAAGAAGACCGGAGCGACGGCCACTTGAGGGGAAAAAGGAAGATTCTGATGTGATTGATTTATCAGAGGTTACACTACCCTCACTACCTAGTCAGCATCCAATCATTGGGGTCAT